TAGACTCAAGAAAGGAAAAAGTGTACAAACTGACTCAGACCTAGTCTACCCAATCTTGAGCTGATTCCAAATGGCAGTCCGATCGTGTGAATCTAAAATGTTAGTAGAAAAAAGTCATAGATAAAAAGAATGTTTGCTATCATCAAAATCATAAGCCATAGATTCGCAACAATCTCTCCCTTTTTGATGATGACAAATATTTCAATTTGAATTTTCAAAAAAGTAACTTCTCCTAATCTCCCCCTTACTAGAATAAACCCTTTTAAAAAAAATAGGGGAGATAAAAATATTTTTGTTGTTTTTAATTTTTTAAAAAAACAAGATACAAAATATGATAACAGTACAAAAATTCAACTATACGTTCTCCCCCTTTGACATTATCAAAAAGAGAGGAGGCACAAACAAAAAATAAAACGAACAAAAGACAAAAAACGTTCCTTGATCTGGTAAAAAAAATATTCTTAAAATGAGAAAGTTACCTCTTGGTTTTAATAAAAAACTTAGTAGAATTCGATTGACAACGCATAGCCCAGAAAAGGTTAGAAATTCATAATTTGATAATCCAAACTCGTTCTTTTAAAGGCTCAAAAACTTTTTAATCCTATATCCAAATCAAGGAATAAACGGGAAAAAGAAACATTAATTTTTCAAAACTCCTTCCATAAAACATATATAATAGAAGATCAATGCACGAATTGATGAATTAGGAACCAAGATTTTCAAGCACAAGTTTCGAACATATCAAGGATTTTCTTAAGCTTTTAGTAGTATAAGAAAAAATAAGCATATTTTTTTTGTGGGCTCATTTTATGCCCTTTATCACTTGAATGGCTCTTTTAGCATCTTTTGATTTTAATACACTTTGTGTTTTTTTTTTTTTTAATTTGGCGTCATTGCGCATCTTTTGGTTTGGCATAATTGGCCACTTTTTTTTTTTAAATTATTTTCAAAAAATATATTTTCTTTCTTATATTTTCAAAACCAAAGTAAACCCAAATTATTGACAACACAAACAACTTGATTAAGAAAATTTTATGGTGGATTCAACAATCTTGTAAAAGATTCCTATG